TTGTAGTAATCTCTGATGGTAGTTTATATTTCTGTGGGATCAATGTTGATATCCCCTCTATCTTTTCTTATTGCATCTATTTGATTCTTCTCTCTTCTTTTTTATTAGTCTGGCTAGTGTCTATGTTGTTTATCTTTTCATAAAACCAGCACCTGGATTTATTTATTTTTTGAAGGGTTTTTGTGTGTGTGTCCCTATCTCCTTCAGTTTGGCTCTGATCTTAGTTATTTCCTGTCTTCTGCTAGCTTTTGAGGATTTGATCTTCCTCCTGTAGCTCTTTTAGTTTTGATAATAGGATGTCAATTTTAGATCTTTCCTTGTTTCTCATGTGGGCATTTATTGCTATAAATTTCCTTCTCAATACTACTTTAAAGGTGTCCCAGAGATTCTGGTAAGTTGTGTCTTCATTCTGATTGGTTTTGAAGGACTTCTTTATTTCTGTCTTTATTTCATTTTTTATCCAGTTGACACTCAGAAGCAAGTTGTTCAGTTTCAAAGTGATTGTGCGGATTTGAGTGTGTTTCTTAATCCTGAGTTCTAACCTGATTGTGCTGTGGTCTGATAGACTGCTATGATTTCCCTTCTTTTGCATTTGCTGAGGAGGGATTTGCTTCCAATTATGTGGTCAATTTTAGAGTAAGTGCGATGTGTTGCTAAGAAAAATGTATATCCTGTGGATTTGGGGTGGAGTGTTCTGTATGTGTCTATTAGATCCACTTGGTCCAGCTCTGTATTCAAATCCTGGATGTCCTTGCTAATTTTCTGTCTCATTGGTCTGTCTAATATTGACAGTGGAATTTTGAAGTCTCCCACTATTATTGTATCAAAGTCTAAAACTCGTTTTAGGGCATTAAAAACTTGCCTTATATATCTGGGTGCTCCTGTGTTGGATGCACATATATTTAGGATAGTATCTCTTCTTGTTGGATTGATCCTTTTATTATTATGTAATGTCCCTATTTGTCTCTTTTGATATTTGTTGGTTTGAAGTCTGTTTTATAAGAGACTAGGATTGCAACCCTTGCTGGTTTTTATATTTTTAATTGATGTCTGTGAATTGATTGCTTAATTTATAGAAATACAATTTATTATTGTATTCTTATATCCTGAAACACTGCTAAACTCTCTTATTAGTTCTAGGAGTCTTTTATATTTATATTTTATAGATTCCCTAGGATTTTCAACATAGGCATTATATGATCTGGAAATAAGAGCAGTTTTATTTCCTTCTTTCCAACATGCATGTATTTTATTTTATTGTCATGCTTTATTGCACTGGCCAAAATTTCCAGAAATATATTGAACAAGAGTAGTGATTTTCAGCTGTAGATAAGGGGTCATTTTGCTCTGTCTGCTTTAGGAAATTTGTCTTTGTTTTTAGTTTCCAGTTTAAATATAATGTGTCTTGGGATGGATTTCTTTGTGTTTATCCTGTTAGAAGTTCACCCAGCTTTTTTAATCTATAGGTTTATATTTACACCATGTATGGGATATTTTAGGCATTATTTCTTTGAGTACCAACATCAGTTCTTTTTCTACCCAGGACTCCAATGGCATGAATGTTAAACCTTTCGTTATAGTCACACAGGTTTTAGAGTATCTATTCATTTTTGTCTAGTATATTTTCTCTCTACTGGCCAGAATGAGTAATTACTATTCTATTTTCAATTCAGTGGTTTATTTAATCTTTCCATTCCATTCTGTTTTTGAGCCTATCTATTGAGCTTTCTATTTCAATTATTGTGCTTTTCAATTCTGAAATTGTCATTTGGTTCTTTACATTTCTAATACTTTGCTATGTCTGTCTATTACTATACTAAGGCTTCTTATTTTTAAACTTGATTCAAGTATGTTCATAGTTGTTTGCTTTTTTTTAATTTTGACTGTTGAACTGTCAGTTAATTTTAACATCTCTATCATCTTGATATTGTTATCCATTCTCTTTTCTCATTTATTTTGAGATTTTCCTATTTTGGGTATAACTACTAACTTCCAATTTAAACCTAAATGTTTTTGTACTATGTTCTTATTTAAACCTTCTATTTTGGCACATAGGTGGGAGTTCCAGGCTCTTCCATGGTTAACATTTTGGTGGAGGTGGCTTCATCGTCGCTTGGCAATTATGAAAGGCCTCTTCTGACAGAAACTCTTCGGTGGGTAGAGGGATGTCTCTTTACAGCTGAGTCTAGGTTGAAGTCTAGATTTCTCACATGGTGTCTCACATAGACACTGCAAAGGGGCAGGAGGAGTGTGATTCTCATTAACAACAATCAGGGATTAAAGTCTTAGCTTTCTATTTGGCCATCTCAGATACCATCCCAATGGGGTGCTAGACAACTTGTTACTGCATCCTAAGAGTGAATGTCTAGGCTCCCCAATTATCCTTTGCTGGCAAGGGCAGGGATGGTACCATATTTTTCTGTGATGTTTGTCTGGTCTATGACAATTATTGTCTAAAAGCTTTCTATTTTTCTAGGCTTCCCCTTTCTTAGTCTTTTAGATAGGAAGAGCAAGTCTTTGTTGGGCTTTTGCTGTCTGTGACTGTTGCCATTTCTGAGTTTCTGGCTTGTTCAGCAACAAGTCTGGGGTATATGAGACAGAAAGAAGACCCAGGGAACTAACCACAGTGTCATTTCTTGTGTCACTTTACACAACAGTGTAAAAGTGTTCATGTTTCTCTGCAACCTTGCCAGCGTCTGTTGTTTCTTGACTTTTTAATAATGGCCATTCTGACTGGTGTGACATGGTATCTCATTGTGTTTTGATTTGTACTTCTCTAATGATCAGTGATATTGAGCTTTCTTTCATACATTTGTTGGCTGCATGAATGTCTTCTTTTGAGAAGTGTTTGTTCTTGTTCTTTGCCTACTTTTTGATTTTGTTTTCTTTTGTTTTTATTTCATAAATTTGTTTATTTGTAGATATGGGATATTAGACTTTTGTCAAATGGATAGACTGCAAAATTTTTTTCCCATTCTGTAGGTTTCCTGTTCATTCTAATGATAGTTTCTTTTGCTGTGCAGAAGCTTTTTAATTAGATCCCATTTATCAATTTTTGCTTTCGTTGCAATTGCTTATGATGATTTTATCTTGATACCTTTGTTCATGCCTATGTCTTGAATGTTTTTTCCTAGATTTTCTTCTAGAATTTTTATACTTTTGGGATTTACATTTAAGTCTTTAATCCATCTTGAATTAATTTTTGAGTATGGTATGAGGAAGGGGTCCAGTTTCAATTTTGTGCAAATGGATAGCCAGTTCTCCCAGCACCATTTATTAAATGGGGGATTATTTCCCCATTGCTTCTTTTTGTGAAATTTGTCGAAGATCAGATGGTTGTAGATGTGCAACCTTATTTCTGAGTTTTCTATTCTGTTCCATTTGTCTGTGTCTGTTTTTGTATCATTACAATGCTGTTTTGTTATTGTAGCCTTATGGTAGCTACTGTAAATGAGCTCTAGTTTGGCCTGTGATATTTTCCAGAGTTTAAAGTCTGGTAGCGTGATGCCTCTAGCTTGTTCTTTTTGCTTAGGATTCTCATGGCTATATGGGCTCTTTTTGGTTCCATAAAAATTTTAAAATAGTTTCTTTTTTCTAATTCTGTGAAGAATGTCAGTGGTAGTTTAATGAGAATAGCATTGAATCCATAAATTACTTTGGGCAGTATGGCTATTTTCACAATATTGATTCTTCCTATCCATGAGCATGAAATATTTTTCATTTGTTTGTGTCCTCTCTGGTTTCCTTGAGCAGTGGATTGAAGTTCTCCTTGAAAAGGAACTTCACTTCCCTTGTTATCTGTATTCCTAGGTATTTTGTTCTTTTTGTAGCAATCATAAATGGTAGTTCATTCATGATTTGGCTCTCTGCTTGCCTGTTCTTGATGTATAGGAATGCTTGTGATTTATGCACATTGATTTTCTGTCCTGAGACTGCTGAAGTTGCTTATCAGCATAAGAAGTTTTTGGGCTGAGACAATGGGGTTTTCTAGATATAGGATCATGTTATCTGCAAACAAAAACATTTTGACTTCCTTCCTTCCTATTTGAATACCCTTGATTTATTTCTCTTGCCTGATTGCCCTGGCCAAAACTTCCAATGTTATGTTGAATATGAGTGGCAAGAGAGCACAAGACTTGTCTTGTGCTAGTTTTTCAAGGGAAATGCTTCCAGTTTTTGCCCATCCAGTATGATATTGGCTATGGGTTTGGCATAAATGGCTCTTATGATTTTGAGGTATGTTCCTTCAATACCTAATTTATTGAGAGTTTTTAACATGAAGGGATGTTGAATTTTATTGAAGGCCTTTTCTATATCTATTGAGATAATCATGTGGTTTTTGTTTTTAGATTTATTTATGTGATGAATTACGTTTATTGATTAGCATATGTTGAACCAGCCTTGTATCCCGAGAATGAATCCAACTTGATCGTGGTGGATAAGCTTTTGGATGTGCTTCTGCCAGTATTTTATTGAGAACTTTTACATTGATGTTCATCAGAGATATTGGCCTGAAGTTTTCCTTTTTTGTTGTATCTCTGCCAGATTTTGGTGTCAGGATGATGCTGGCCTCATAGAATGATCAGGGAGGGTTCCTTCCTTTTCAATTATTTGGAATAGTTTCAGAAGAAATGGTATCAACTCCTCTTTGTATATTTGGTGGAATTCAGCTGTAAATCCAACTGGTCCTGGGAGTTTTTTGGTTGGTAAACTATATATGATTGCCTCAATTTTGGAACTTGTTATTGGTCTATTCAAGGATTCAACCTCTTCCTGGTTCAGTCTTGGGAAGGTGTATAGTCCAGGAACTTATCAGTCTTGGGAGGGTGTATGTGTCCGGGAATTTATTCGTTTTCTCTAGATTTTCTACTTTATTTGCATAGAGCTCTTTATAGTATTCTCTGATGGTTGCTTATATTTCTCTGGGGTCAGTGGTGATATCACCTGTATCATTTTTTATTGTGTCTATTTTATTCTTTTCTCTTTTCTTCTTTATTACTAAAAATATGGAACACTTCATGAATTTGTGTGACTTCCTTGTGCAGGGGCCATGCTAATCTTCTCTGTATTGTACCAATTTTAGTATATGTGCTATCAAAGGGAGCACAGCATAAGCCTTCTAAAACAATTTTTAAAGATAAAAATTGTGTCCACCTGGGTACCTCTTCCACTGGTAAAAAGTAGTGAGCTCTTTTAAGATGACTGAAATATCACAGGCCAAACTAGAGCTCATTTATAGTAGCTTCCATCATGGTAGTTTGACTCAGGCTGTTGGTAATGCTAAATATTTTTTCCAGGCACCATTTCTCTTTTATTGCTTAGCTGGAAGGCAGGAGAGCTTTTCAGTCTCCCTGGTTGGACTGAGTTGATTATGAAGAGACCACAGAAAACATATCTTTTCCTTTATGGCGTCAGACTCAATAGAATCTACTTAGGGTCTATACACAAGCAAGCAAGATGGAGCTAATTAAATAGTGTAGGAAAAAGGTATTCCCTTGTACCTGATGATCCCCCTTTGGCAAAAGGGAATCTCTGTCACTTGAACATCTATGTCTCTAAAGGAACCTGCTAAAGGTTACTGCTATAAATATTAGGAAATTTGTTTTACCATTAGATTTTGCTTGATACTACAATTGCAGGGGCTGCTGCCCAAGGCACAAAAGTGTTAGATAAATGTCTTCTTCAATAATTACATATTAAAAACTGAACGTGTAACTACAAGACACCTTGTCAAAACTCAATAATAATTGCAAAGTAATTTCATTTTTCTCAACTAGTGCTAGTATATCAGAGAAACAGTTATACTAAATCATAATGCTTTGGTGACTACATATTTATTTACTAAATCATCAGGTATGACATAAAATTTCTTCTTAAATTATATTTAACAAGATACATAGTAATTTCATTATTTTCTGTTGTTCACTATGTGTAGTAAACATCCCATCTTTTAAAGTTGCAAGTGTCATTTGTGGTTGTTATTATTGTTGTTTTTGTTTATTACAAGTCTTTATTAACACTTGTGTTACGTTAAAAAGACACATTACTCTTTAATTGGATAATGTAAATAATTTAGTATAGTTTTGCCTTTCTGTTTCCAGCTTTGTATGTTGAAGATTTTTTAAAGTTGATAACTAGATGACAAGGGAAAATTGTCATTGAACACTGCCAGATAAAAGCAAATGTCACCAGTTCTAACAGTTGCCAAGAAATTGACCCTCTTTGCATGAAGTGTAAGCATTGGATCCCCTTGGACAAGTAAAACTTCTCTAACTTGATAGGATTATTTTATTCAATAAGCATTTATATATACTGCACATTCTAAAGCTTACACTACTTTGCTCATTCTGTGTTATTAAAACTTTTGTAATTTCCTCTAATCCTAATCACCAGGCTCTATAGAATAGGCAAAGAGAAATACTTGCATTAAGTTGCAGACAACATGAATAATTTGATTTTACAAAAGACAGAAAGTGATTATTTCTGGTAATCTTTATTTGAAATCAACCAGTTCAATACCAGGCAAACAGCATTGTTGACTCACTAAGCCAAGCTTTTTCAATCTCAGCACTATTGGCATTTAGGATCTGAAAGATTTTTTGTTAGAAAAAGGAGCTGTCCTCTGCTGTTTAGTAGTACACCACTGGCCTTTACCAGCTAAATACCAGTAGCATTTCCCACCAGTTGTGATGACTCAAAATGGCTCTAGACACTACCAAATGTACCCTAGGGGTCCAAAATTGTCCCCAGTATGTATACTCTATAAAAAGATTAAATGGAAATTTAAAATAATGTTTTGATGGAGATTTCAGAGTAGTCAAGTTCTACCATATATTAGCCTATTAATGAAGTAAAGCTATTCCAGGACAACATTTCCTGAGAAGAAAGCTGTATCCCCTGCCCATTTGTAGTTAAGTGCCAATAGTGAGTTTATGTCACCTCCGGATGCTTCCATTATTTGCCTAATATCAAAAGTATGTGTCCATTATCCTATGACTAGTAACTACAACCAAGAGATGCCGATAAATATGTAGGGAAAGATGTGAACAATAAATAAAGAGAATAAACACAAATAATACATAAATATTAGTCTGCAAGACTCAGTACTGATATAGCATATGAGTAATACATGAGCAATAAACTTTAAGAAAAATTTGTGAGTACATAGTAGGTGTATATATTATGAGGTATGTGAGATGTTTTGATACAGGCATGCAATGCATAATAATCACATCATCGAAAATAGGGTATCCATTCCCTCAAACATTTTTCCTTTGTGTTACAAACAATCCAGTTATATTCATTTAGTTATTTTAAAATGCACACTAAATTATTTTTTTTTGTAATCACCCTGTTGTGTTATCAAATACTAGGCCTTATTTATTCTATTTTTTTTTTTTTACCCATTAACCATCCCCATTCCCCCCAAGTGCCCATTACCCTTCCTAGGCTCTGTAAACCACTCTTCTACTCAGATGAACAATAAATTTAATGGAACTAAGAGACACTCACCCTGCATTTTATAGTAGACCTGGAGCTCATAGCTGTTCTTCAGGATATGAAGTCTATTACTACTGAATTTTTTGCCTTTTCCTGACTTTTGATTAGTCAATACTAGGAGTCAACAGTGTAATAGCCAAAGTTTAAGATAAAAAGTCTCTGACATTTGAAACTGCAACCCCATCTAATCCCTGTGGCGAGCCCTAAGAAGATACCAGGTCTTATCAAGAGTGACAACTCTCTTGTCTTTCTTTGGCAAGCTAGAGAGTAATAAAGGCTAATTTATATTGCATATAACTAAGATAAATTATAATTTTCTCTAACAATCAGAAACAATTTTAAATTATGTATGCACAACCAAGAAAACAATGGTGCATAAATAAAATAGGCAAGATATTATTTTGTTAGGGTATGGATTATAGCCTCCAAATATTGAAAGGAATGGCTTGCAGAAAAATTCCTCTTTTTTTTTTTTTTTTTTTTTTTTTTTTTTACTACCATGTGATAGACAAAGTCATTTCTTAAATACTCTTTGCAGCTTCTAATCCCCGAGACTTGTTTGCTATGTGGAATCATAAAGAAAGATGGATGAACAACAAACTATGACACTATAATGACATTTGAGGCTCTACTTAAGTTATCATCCAAGTTATATGTCATGAAAGATCAAGCACTTCTTTTGTGAATACTTTTTATTAAATCACAAAATTCCTTAATAGGGTGAACATAACTAATTCTATGATCTAAACTCAGAAAGGTAACCAGGAATTAAATATCCTGTTAAAAGATCTTTTACAGAACAAGGTGAAATCACGACTTTCATAAAGACACGAAAATTGATTAAAGATTTATTTTATTCATATGATATGAGGGAATCAGCAAGATATAACTGGTTCAAAATAAAAGTCAAAAGAGCTAAAATTTTTGTGGAGTAAAGGAATGTTGACAAATAGAGACAAAACTGTTTTTTTGAAGGTGAGGTGGAGGAGCCAAATGTCTAACAGACAAAGTAGAATTTATATATCAGTTACCTACAACTTACAAGGAGTTGCAAAATAGTTCAGACAATGAACAATGAACAATAAACAGAACACTGATTTTGCTTAAATCAGACCTAAAGGATACACTATAGATGATGTGTCATTTTCCACTATCACATAACAATTTTTACTAAAATTCCTCTCCTTTTGGATCAAAAAAGCTTCAAAAATTATCTTGATCAAAGAATAAGATATCTCATCAGAAGGGACCTAATTATTTATGAGAGTGCAGCCAAGTGTGCTACTTTGCCATATGGATCTTCTTAAGTTTATTTTGATGGATGTTTTCACAAAGAATCTCAGATTGGACTTTTAAAAGCTTCTTCTTATTTGTGGACCTGAGGCTAGGAAACAAGGATTTTGCCGATAGTACCTAAAAATGTGGGTTAATTTCTTTCTTTTTAAGGTTCTCAAAATATCCTAAAGTTTCTAGCCTGCCAGGAAATGACCTTCCTTACTTGAGAACCGTGAAAGGCAGGTACCATGCCAGTTTTCCCAAGTTTACTGTAAGCACTGGCTTTATAAAGTCAGCTTTGGTGCCGCAGAAGTATCTGTTCATATCTAACTTAATGAGCATAATTTTCACATATTATATCGTGGGCAAGTCCTTGGTTATATAACCAATGTTTCCAATTATGTCCAAGCAAAAGGAGAATAAATTCTTACTGCAACTATGCAAATCACTATATTGCTACGAAAATAAATATATTCAATAAGAGTTTCTGAATTCTGAAGGGGTCTACAAGGAGAATAAACTATAACTTATATATATTTCATTTAAGTTTCTAAAAGAAGAGTCTACTAAATTATGGGTTATAGATAGTAAAGGTAGAAAAGTGTGATACCTTTCCTCACCAATCATAAGGGTCATAGCCAAGACCCCTATAACAAAAGATAGGTGAGCAAGAGACAAGCATGACAAATTTATTTAATCAAAATTTTACATGACATAGGAGCCTTCAGAAATGAGGAGCACCAAACCTAGAGGAAACCCTCTATATACTTAGGCTCAGTAAAGAATGGATAGCCATGTAGAAATGTGATTAGACAAAAGGGTGTGACCTAATGGTAATAGATTGAATGGGGGTATCCTGCAAGGCCTATCTGTTCAGACACTGTTTGACTTCTCTGCATAGCATTCTTTCTTCCTTGGTATGAGACAGGACCCCTCTGTAATGAAGGTCTTCAAGGGAAAGGGGAGAAGGGAGAGAGTTATGTTTCTAGGTTTAATGGCTTGCGTTTGGGGAGATGGTTCTACTTTTCATGACCTTCTTTGGAGAATAGGAATTCTGATTTCCATGACTTGCTTTGAGGGAGAAAGAGGAGGAGGAGACAGGAAGATATAAGATCAAAAAGACCTTGTTTCTGAGGCCTTTCTAGTTTCCTTCAGTTCAAAGTACTCAGTATGCCAAGGTGCCATACTTCTGGGTATTATATTCTGAGACCCAATATTTTAAACAACAAAGGACTTCCTTATACATCTTGTGAATAGAATATTAAAACATCAGCAATATTCTTTAAAAATTCACATCATAGGCCAGGCGTGGTGGCTCATGCCTGTAATTCT